AAGATAAGGTTAATTTAAAGATAAGTAATTACTATACTAGAAGTGAAATAGATTTAAAATGCTTTATATTGTTTAATGTGGAGTATAATTTTTCTGTATGACTAATTTTCACTTAAATAAAATTAGATTAGACCTCGCTGTTCATGCTTTACTTAATTTTTTTTTTTTTATAGTTTTGGGGGGGGGACATTATGGGGTGAAGAAGCTGAAGTTTTTCCCTGTTCATCTCCTTGCCCATCTCTTCCACAAGAATATTCCTTCCTTTAAAATTTCGCGGGGACCAATTAGATTGATTAATTACAATAATCACATTACTGACCATGAATTGCACAAGATAGAGAGATGGCCCCATAATTGGCGTAAAATTTCATTTTCTCTTCTCAAGGATGATTTAAATATTAACCAGCTTTTTATCATTTCCCTTGAAATATTTAGCTTTCTTCAAATTCTATATTTGAATAAATAGGAAGATCGTGCTATTTCTTTTCCAAATTAATATCTTTTATATGTATTAAAAATCAAGATGGTAATTCAGGTCAAATAAATCAAAATAATGATTTAAAATTAAAAACCTTTCAAGGGCAATAAAAAGTCACGCAGACTGATAAATTGGTTTGAGAGAACGAGCTGAATGTGAGATTTTAAGTTCCCTTTTCAAAAAAAAAATTGTTTAATTAATTAAATATGATAATATTTAAATTTTATTCAATCAAATACTAGTTATGAAAAATAAACATGTTGAATATAATAATTTTTTTCCATTTTTTTTCAAAAATAATACTCTCTCCATTTAAGAGATTAGATGCTTAAAAAATGTAATATTTCAATGTATGATTAATAAACATTTTTTAAAGTGTTTATAATAAATAAATTATTTTATATTTGTTTTAAAATAAAATATATTATTAAATAAAAGTAAGTTTATAAATATAATGTTATTTTGGAAATAGTGAATTACTTTATTAAAAAAATAGTATTCCCTCTTGTCCCATTTATAATAAGATGTAATGTTTACATTGACATTATTAATATTTTCCACACAATTACAATAAATGATGATAATTAGGAGCTATAGATTGCTCTTAAACTCACAGTAAATACAAAAGGGTTAACGTTAATATACAATGAAAAATAATTTAAAATACTTGAGATCCCATAAAAACCCTTTAAATAGATAGTTTAAACTCAATCTTAATAATTTATAAAGATATAAGAAGTATGAAAAAGTGTGGGAAGTAAAATACTTGAAAAATATGGTCAAAAATGTCATTTTTGAATCAATATGGTAATTATACTGCGGCACGTGGCTTAGAAAGATCAATTTCGTTGCTGCACCGTATGCTATGCATAAATGTCAGACAACATTTTTGCTGTTATAATAGCTTTTCGAGCGAACTTTTGACGTATATTGTTTTCGCATTTGTTGTCCGATTAAAGTGATTTAAGCGCAAATGCAAAACTTATTTGATAAGCTAACTAATGATACAAGTATTATTACGATATAATGTCTAATGTGAGATTTAGACATTTAGATGCAAAAGTGATATTTTAAAATGGTTTTCAAGTATTCAAATATCAAAAACTTAAAACTTATACTATGAACCTATTTTGAGGCTTGAACCAAGTTCGATGGACCAATATATATCTGATTGAGCATTTAAACACATAATAACACATCAAATACAAAATTTTGCCACTTAAAGCCAATTTTACCCTATTATGGCCAAAAGCATAAAATCACAACCATAAATCATTTGGCCTCTAATGCCACATAATATACCACATATACATTATCACTATATGTATACAACCATTCTAACACTTGTATTAGTATTTTAGCCCATCAGTGTAAAAATCACCACACGTTCACATTATATAAAACATTGCGCTAAATACGATATGATATAGTATAATACAAGTGTTAACCACAAAATGTTATGCATTTTTAATTAGCAAATCATATTGTCTTATATTTAAGTTTATGTACACATAACCCAAATTAAAATTGGGCATTATAATTGCAATGTAACAAATATGCTAGCCTTTGCCCGACTCCTTCCCTTACTCAGACTTAGTAGTAATAATAATCATGGGATGAAATAAAAATCTCAGCAACTAAGATCATCTACATTATCGATTAACATATCAAGTTAAAAATAAGCTTTAGAATATGTATAATAAACACACCATATACAAATTATTACAATTACAATACATGATAGTTAATCATTCGATCCTCTAATACTCCAGAATCAATATGCTATTTCACAAAACAAAACCACATGTGTGGTCCCCAAGCTCATCATCTATGGTAGGATTACTCAGCCAAGGTATCATAAACTACTTCTGCACTATAGGTTCCCTCTATTATGAGTAATTAGGTATCATTACTCTAACACTGCATCCCATAGATGTTAAAAAGTATAGTCTCTAATTTTGTACCCTTCTTAGGATAATAACTCTCCGACACCATACCCTTTTCAGACATTAAGGAGAAATATGAGTTACACCTGACGTCCTAAGATGCTGGCAGTGCTATATGAACTTAATTTCTATTAACTCCACTATGATGACCTTTCACCCTTTAACATGCCACATATCTCTACTTGGCTATGCATAATCACTTTATAAACAAATATAATAAAACTTACCACTTACTTTAAAAGTAAGAAATTTCATAAATCAAACACTCCACACATCTTCTAAAATACTTAACATTTACAAAATTTATATATGTAAATATGACCAATCATACAAAAATAACTTGTAAATAATTTATATAAGAAAATAAATAATGTAAATTATCTAGTTATATTAACCTTTTTGTTATAAAAAAAGTTATTCGTGATACTAAATCTCCTCTTAGGCAACAATAAGTTTTCCCACACTTCAATCTACAATAATAAGTACTATATGTTAATTTTTAATTGATATAAGCACTATTAGGTATCAATATCACCCTATATCACTCACTTTTCGCTCTTATCCTTAACATAAAGAAGCTAGTCAAAGTTACAACTAGCTCACATCATCCCCTCAAGCTTTTCTCTAACTCTATCACAGCTTACAACTTAATATCTCAAATTGTCATGGCTCAAAATCCTATAAAACAACCAGGGCTTGATCCAATTTATGCTAAACAACCCTTAAACTTCATAATAACAATTATTCAAGTCAAAAAAACTCTAATTAAGCTCTAATCATCTCATACAATCCTTAAAGTTTGAGTACAATCTTCCCCAACTCAAACCCAACATCTCCAAATCTCCTATCCCTTTTAAAAATGATCTAGACAAGGAGGAGAGGGAGTTGGTAAGCTTACCTGGATAATTGAAAACCCAAATCAACTTCTAATCTTGCTTATACGGAAGCCCCAGCACAGTTGTTCAAGATCCCTCTTTATGCTTCTTACTCTCATAAAAATCCCATCTAAAATTTTACATTGATTCATGCACATTTCATTTTAAGATATGGGAATTATGCTGCATCATAATTTGTTTATGTTGCGGCATAATACACAGTGAGACTAATCTTACTTATATCATGCTATCTCGTCCTGAGATCGAACTTCGACCTTAGCTTAACTTTAGAGTTACCCAATTATCCAAAACATCAATTAACAACCCAAAGCATGATTAAATTAATTATACATTATTTTTAACTAATTTTTATTTAATTAGCAATAAATTTTAGATTAAAACTCCGGATGTTACATAAGACATATTATAAAAAGTTCATTTAATCTCATTTATAAGTTGTGGAACGACTTTTTAAGTAATATTTAAAAGATGATAAAAAGTAACATGATATCATTTTTTATATTTATTATATAAAGATATATTTAAAATTTTATTTAATTTTATTTTTTTATATTAATATTGATAAAGTTAATAAAAAATAATTTATAAAAAAAATTAGAGGAGGATGAAATTAAAAATACCTTATCATTTTTAATAGAATATGGTAGTAAAGTTTTTCCATGGTAGTTTTACCGTCCCAAGTATTAATCGTATACTCTTTGCTGAGCGAAGCGGAAAGGCAGTGAAAAAAGCTCTTGACGGTGTACTCACTCTCGCCTCAGCCTGTCTCTAAAAGTAGTAACCTAGATGTCACGGATGATATTTCCGTGACCGTGTAAAGACCAAGATAATGAACGGTCCGCTGGTTAGCCTCGCACAATATGGGTAAAGGGGGCGACATTAGCATTGGGGGTGTTCTGCCTCAGTCTTCGGACTGTGTGCACAACTGGTTGGGGGCTAGTGCCGCCTCCCTGATGAGCCCATGGCAGGGCGAAACCAGTGTGTTCCGTACGTGGTAAGGCTTGTCCTGAGGATTATGGGGTCCTCCAGGACGCCGCACGGGCGCCGTGTGCTGCGCCAGACTCTCAGCCCGTGACAGAGTGGTATCAGAGCAGGACGTACTTTATTGTCGTGTGCGCGTGGGGTCCCACGTTGGGACTGGTCGGCCTCGGCACCGCTCCAGAAAGGCCTCCGAGCAGGTGGGTCCAAAAGTGAGGACTCGGGCGGGAAGGTTGGCCGTTGTCGACTCCACTCCTGTTGGCTCGCGGGTGCGAGTGGGTCCGAAGAGTGCAGGACTCGGGTGGCCACTCAGCAAGTAAGCTGATGTGTTTATGGCAGTACTGTACGTACGATCCTTGGGCGGAGTCGTTCTCCCCTAGCACGAGGGCGTGCTAGATTGGGTGTGGGAGAATGTCACGGATGATATTTCCGTGACCGTGTAAAGACCAAGATAATGAACGGTCCGCTGGTTAGCCTCGCACAATATGGGTAAAGGGGGCGACATTAGCATTGGGGGTGTTCTGCCTCAGTCTTCGGACTGTGTGCACAACTGGTTGGGGGCTAGTGCTGCCTCCCTGATGAGCCCATGGCAGGGCGAAACCAGTGTGTTCCGTACGTGGTAAGGCTTGTCCTGAGGATTATGGGGTCCTCCAGGACGCCGTACGGGCGCCGTGTGCTGCGCCAGACTCTCAGCCCGTGACATAGAGCTCTTCCATTTTTCCGTGGAGTTTGGGGGACGCTTTGAACCCCGTTTCAGTTCAGTTTAATCCTGCCTCTGCCTCATCCCTATTTCACAATCCCACTTGTACTGGCACGCTACTTCTCATTCGTGCTTTAGGCATCTCTTGGTCTTCCTTTTTCTCACTCACTTTCATCTTCCTTCCTTTCTTTCTTTCTCATCCACTATGCGAATTGCGTTCTTTTCCCTCCATTCACTCCTCTGCTTAAGCTGACACTGTCTTCCTTACATTGAGCAAATAAACCCGTTTCTTAACTGCTTCTCCTTTCACATCACGTGAGCGTCTGACTTCTGACTCGTCTGACCTTTCTTTCTTCTTTCTTTGGTAGCTTCTTTGCTGTTTGCTATGTTCCTGGCCTTCGGGTTCTTTCTAGTGGCTCATCTTTATCCAATCTGTTTCATCCCTCAGAAGTTAAAGAACTTCGAAAATTCGTGGATTCAGGGTGTCTAACTCCTCTGCTTTTATATGTTTTTGTTTAGTTTAGCATTCATGGCTCCGTAAGCACTGTTGAGCTAAGCAAATCCAAGTTCAAGCTGAATTTTGGCCACTTAATTACCAGCCAAGTGGGCTTCTTGGCTTTCTCTCGAGCTTTGATTCTTGTTCATGAAATGGAGTCCTGGAGTTATGATTCTGACGAAAAAGGGTTTGCGTCCAATGATACACTCTCACCTCCTAATGCACTTTCGAGAAGTAAAGGTTCCATCTTGGAATGGGAATTTAAGAGTCCCCCTGGTATTTCCAGCGACATGTTATCCTCGGGTCAACCTAACGTAGGAAATCAAGGTTTTGAGGAAATGGGTTTTCCAGAAATGTTGGGTAAACGATTGTCCGATGATCCGATTGGCAGTGTTCCGAGCAGAAAGCTCGAAGGTGGTCCTTTTATGACCGCCGCCCCAATTGCGATTTCTAGAGTTGAGGATTCCAATTCCAGGCTTTCCAACTCTCTGGTTGAATCTAACGGTCGGGATTCGCTCATTGATTTGAAGCTGGGACGATTTGGCGATCCCAGAGAAGCCACGGATTCGGCATTCTCCAGAGGAACCCCTATTTTGTCTTCTTCAGAATCATCGGCTCCGACCAAGAGAGTACGAGGTTCAGGGGTTCATTCACAAACCGCCTACTGTCAAGTTTATGGATGTCATAAGGATCTGAGCGCCTCTAAAGACTACCACAAGAGGCATAAAGTTTGCGAGGTTCACTCCAAGACTTCCAAAGTTATAGTCAACGGCATCGAACAGAGATTTTGTCAGCAATGTAGTAGGTCGGTCAATTTTTCGAGCTCTCATCTTTTCATTTGGGCTCCTAATAATCTGTTATCTGAATGCTTTGTTTCCTCTCTCTCTCTCTCTCTCTCTCTCTCTATCTCTCTCTCATCTGTCTTCCTATTTTTCTTGCTCAATTTCTTTTTCCCTAGTGTTTTTTCACAAGTACTTGGAATTTTCAGTGCCAAATTCTTATGTTCCTAATGATAAATATTGGCGGCCCCACTTGTTACATGAAGAAACCAGGCCTAATCATTGCTACTTTTCATCAGTAGGAAGAGACTAATTCCTGTGATTATGTTCAGTATCTTTGCAATTGTTTTCCTGTCAGCTTTACGACTTCATATATACAAGATGAGTGATGAATAGGCTTGTAAAAAGTTGCTATGTTGTAATGATTTGTAGCACAGCTGTAATGTTTAGTTCTTCCAGGTTTCACTTGCTGGCTGAATTTGATGATGGTAAGCGCAGCTGTCGCAAACGCCTTGCAGGTCATAATGAGCGTCGGCGAAAGCCACAAGTCGGTGTTAGCTCTGGAAAAGCTGCAAGATTGCTTCAATCATACAGCGGTAATAATACACGTTTTGAGCTCTTGCTTTTGCCCTTAAAAGCATGTTCTTCCTCAAATTCTCACTGCTTATAATACTTAATAATTGCATTTTCTAATAGTGGAACGTGGTGTATTGCTATAGCTTAATTCCTTATATGATTGAGAGCAAGTCTTCTGAGAAGCTAGGTAGTTTTAGTTCATTTTCATCTTTTCCAAGGCTATTTCTAGTTGCATTTGTTGTGCCATACAAAAATGAGCCCTAGTTTTTATTCTCATATGTTTGATATAGTCAATGACAAGGGATTCCCTCTTCGTTGTACAATAAAAATATGTAACATCTATTATATACTCATATTATCATTACTGAACAGTACCTTTCTCTTTCTACTGCTTTATTTTATTCAAGGATATGGAAGACATTTTTCATGTATAAAATTACTTTCTTCATTCTATTACATTCTGTGTACTAAACAAAAGCATATCCTGAATCTTTTTCATTGTACCATGCAATTCCATGATAAATGATGCAGTTTTTTAACATTATATGTTCTTGCCCATTGGTGGTTTATTCAAGGATATGGTAGTTAATTCAATGATGACTCTTCAGTTTCTGTCTTTCTGTCCCTTTTGTTTCAAATTGTTTATTTATCAATATACATGCATAGTCCCTAACTCCCTGAAGTAATGGTCTTGGGCTATTCTTGGTCCATTGTCAGATAAACTTGAAATCATCGTACCTGTATAGTCTGGATTCTTTGGTCATGTGATGGATGTGAACCATGAATGACTTGTTCAACCAGCATAATGGCTCTATCCCCTGGAGGATATGTTATTTAGCCACCCTGTGTTGTCATATTTTAGTGCCATTTTCCTAAAATATGTGCAAGTTTGATATTCAAAGCACAACACCTACTCCTGCCAACTAAAAAAGTGAAGTTTATTTTTTTGATTTCATCGCTTGGTGTCCTGGGATATCTGGGGGTATTACCACATTTCACCGTTGGAAGTTTAATATTTAAATACTCAGATCACCAGTGGTTAATTACGAGTCTAAAAATGCGTAAATAATCTCTTACCCTTGTGTCTAATAGAAGTATGCAATATTCAAGAGCTTGAAAATTTAATTATTGATCACAACTCAATGCTTGCCAATTCCCAAACCCAGATTTCACTGCTTCGGCAATAATCTTATATTCGTTGAGTTGTTTGATTCTAAACTTTATGAAGATCGCATGGTTTTGCAGATGGCAGGTTCCACGACACCATGCTAACAACTGCATCTTTTATCTGCCAAGAGATACTTCCCACCGGGACTTTGCGCTCTGATGAATATGGAACAAATGACTGGTGGAGACCTATGAAGAACGAAGATGGGACTGATTTTAGGCATCTGCCTGCCATTCATCCTCAGTCAAGATCTCTATTCCCTTCATATAATGAAAGACAATTTCCGTTTCTTCATGAAAATGGCGCGACAACCAGTACGGGAAGCATCTTCTGTGAGAACAACAATCAGTTTCCACCTCCTCCCATGGGCCCAAATTCTGGGGCACAATCTTTATTCCAAGACACCTCCTTAAGAAGTGGGGGCTTCAATGTTTATGACTCGACATCGACTATTCAAGGACTATCGGGAGTTTCAGACTCTGGCTGTGCTCTCTCTCTTCTGTCATCTCAATCCCAGAACTCTTCAAGCCACTCATCAGGAATTCCCATGGCACGCCCCTTGGTCATTCCAAGCAGCAGCCATAGTAATTACAGCCAGAGTCAGCTCACTGAAAAGATCATAGGAATGAGCTCACAGGCCTCCACAAGTGGAGTTTCAGATCGGTTTCGATCCAAGATGAACCCTGCCATTGATGGAAGTCATCTTAGTCCCGTACTGATGTCAGACAATAGCAATATTCTCCATTTTGCAATGGCAGATGGTATGTTCCAAGGGCCTGGTTTTGTGAACATTAAAGATGGTCTTCCCTGTGAAGATGGCCCAACCATTGACTTGCTTCAACTATCATCGCAGCTCCAGCGAGTTGAGCATCAAAGGCAATCCTCGAAGGTCAAGGAAGAAAATGATTCTTCCTGCTCTCTCCGGACTACTTAAGGTACTCTGGAAGAGGTCAGTGATTCCATTTCATATAAATTATATTACCCTTTTACCACATTGTGTTGATTACTTGACAGCACATTACGCACTAGCTTGAAGTCGCGTTTCTTCGGCAGAAAATGTTATAATGACAAACCAATGGAAGAAAGTTGCTTTCTTTTCGAATTTCTTACTCCTTACTGTTACAGGAGACAATACAGTGTGTGTGGAAGACACCTACGCTAATGCTCTTAATGCAAGTGAAGCAACAAAGCCACAGGAAAGGACAGCCTTATAAGATGGCATCTTCCATTCTCTCACGGTGCAAACTAGGTCGATTAGCCTGCTTGATCTGACATGGATCTCGAGGTTACTATCATGAGAACTTACCAACTAATCTAGTTTTTATCAGTGACAATAATGCTGACGTTGGTACATAAAGGGCCCTCATTCTGAACACATGCGGCCTGCTTCATTAGAGCCAAATGTTGATCAAACTGACATTTGATTTGGTGAAAGTCTCAAAAGCTGATTATGCTGTTGACCTCTTCTAATCATATACGATCATGATGATATTAACATAAATATATTTTCTAGCTTGACGACTTAACAAACTATTTGATTTGAGAACGTTAGCGTTTAACATCATGGCCCCTGTTGGCAAAGATGCTGAAACTTATCATCGCCCAAGTGGACGTGAAATACGGCACCATTCTAGGGCGGTGGACGGCACAAGGAATAGTCAGTATTGGAACACTTGGAAACAGGCAACAAAGAACAAAATTATCGACTTCATTAACATGTCCGTTCAGTCCAATGCTTGACAACTGACAAGTGAGGGTAAAGAGGAATATTGCTAGGCAGAAACTCTTCCATTTGGAGTTTCTAGGAAATTATGTTTCGGAAAAAGTAATGCAAATATGAATAAACTATGCGGTGTTGTGTTTCCCATTTTCTCTTGCTTGTTCTTAATAGTTGCGACTTTTTCCATGTGCTTGATCTACCCGTTACAATGATTGAGAAGTAACTCGAAACAGCTATACTTAAACAAAACGATTTTAGTCAAGTAAATAGAACCTTCGAAATTGCCTTTTTCCCTGAAATAAGAATTGCCTCTGCTCATTTATTAAAACGAAAAACAAAAAACAAAACAAAAGGAATCGCCTCTGCTCGGCGGCAGCATCCCGCCGCCGCCGCGTTAGAACTGTCCATCGGCCACCCTAGCGAATGATAAATGAACTCTTACTTCTGATACGAGGAATCCAATCCAGACGTGGATTCATGTGTGTCCAAATCTCCTAGATCCCTGGCGATGTTTACTGTCCTCAAAAATCGAAGGTAAAGACGTTCATAAGTGCTATAGATTAATCCTCAATTTGATATTATCATTACATATCTTTAGAGAAAAATAATATTAAAAGACCATGAAAATTATAATTAAGATAAAGAACCAAAATACGACCCAATGACCATTAAACTTTTTTTTTAAAAAAAAAAAACTATCGTTTTACTTTCTTTTATAATAATCTAACTCAGTCGATTAGCTCCTTGAAAGCTAGAAATTCACAAACTAGGATTCAGAAAAGTGACAGATGAAAAGACGATTTATCATTAGGCTAGCTCTACATGCATTTCCCTAAAGCTTCCCCATCCTCATACATCTCCTTCATTTTCCTTAACATGACTATCTATCTCTAGCCCAAAACTGAAACTCGATCCACTTCTGGTAGTATAAAACCATACATCGCATCAATCCATACATATATGATATCATCTTAATCAAAATAAGACACTGTGCTTCGCGTGCCATCATAATATGACAAGTATTTAATATTTTATCCAAAACATCACATTGAGTGTCGTCTTACTGTTTCTTGTTCTAATATTTGCTAACAGCATAGTTTGGTTGCTCATGAACCTCAATTTGTAACATCGCTAAAAATAACATTGGCAAAGGAGAAAATTTAAGTTGATTAGAGGGAAAAAATAAGAATGATAGTAATTTTTAATCAAAGGTCTGATGGTTCATTGGCTTTTATATGATTGTTTAACCTAATCGTAATTTCTATGGCTGTTCTTAATAAATATTGATGGTTCTTGAATATATATATATATATATATTTTCTACTTTTAATACATGGAGCTGTAAATGATTAATTTCACTCGCACTGTCTTTTTTCCCCTTCCCTGCAAGCTGGAACTATATACCCGAGACATTTTCTCCCTCGAAAGCTTCTTTTTCTTCTTTTCATGAGAGCCTTCGCACATCTGGCCCTCCAACTCAAAGATCAGAATCAGTCTGTGGCTTCAAAATCTACTTTATTGATCCCCACACATCCCCCCCCGGGGGGCCCCAGCGGGCTTTTGTGATAACCTGGTCACTTGAAAATTGACCCCTTTCTCTTATGAAAATGATTTTGGATTTAATAATTTTTAAAAATACAGATTATATTGTTAAAATTTGATATGAATGATTTAATTGTAGAGAAAAACCAAGTCTGATCTACTGTCGGCTTTGTTGCCCACGGAAGAAAATAAAAATTATTGCTTACCAAATATAGATCTTATATTTACAATTATACCAGTAATTCCAGCGTGTAATTTTTGTTGTCATTGTGCTCAGTTTCCAAGCTTCGCATGATGAATAGAGAATGCCAGCTCATGTACTTTTTTTTAAAATTAATTTAGCATTTTTATTTAATATTAAAAAAAAAGTAACTTCCGACCCCAGACATTTTTCTTCCTCTGTTTTTGACAACCGTTTGACCGTTGTCTTTCGAAAAAGACATTTACCAAGCCCACAACACAGATTCAAACTGAGCCAACTATCCAACCTCCAACAAGTGTATAAATAATCAAATTAGTCGTTCAACCTTTTGATGGCTCCCCCAAACAAAATTTGCCTTTAGAATTTCAAATTCAAACCACGTAATGATTACCTAGGATGGCTTTAACAAAGCAGAAAAGGGTAGAGGGACAAGACAAAAGTGGCGGGAATGGAGGGAGAGGGAGAACACAAACTCGTACGACACAACACAATCATAGCAAACTCAGTCCTGATACGATATTCCAAAAGCAATAATCTCAATGACTAACAGAGTCAACAAAATAGATAAGTTACTCGTCCCAGCCTACATAAAAAATAATAATAATAACCGGGTGCTTCAAATTTTATTGTTTTAGGGACATGGTAAAATAACAAGCAGAGCCTCATCCTCTGCAATGTCCAATAATTTATCCTAGAGCCGCGCCGATCCTTGGACAAAAAGGATGATAACTCAGAAGCTACCAAGGAAGGAATAGTTTCCAACATTTCACTTCGCCGGACCATTGGGCAGTGCATCAGATTTTGCACTGGGTGAGTTTAGTTCGTCCCAAGCTTCGATCCAAGTCTCCATGGCACCAGCAAGCTTGATGAAATACTCATCAACCTTTCCAAGTTTTGCCTTCACTTGCTTGGCCAGTTCGATATAACACCTCTGAACAGTAGTGCATTCCTTTGGAAGAGAAACAGACTGGAAAAATGGAATCAACTCTTCCTGCCAGTAAATTCCTTTGTACTCTTTCTTCAGGTTCACGAAAGGATTGCTAGCTTTGCTATGAAAGATGTAGGGCAAACCTGTCTTCACGCCCAATCCCATATGATCGCAAATGACCTTCATTATATTGTAGAAAGTATAGTAAGATCAACGCTCACATGATAAAAATTCATCAAGTGATGTGCGATAGTAAAGCTGAGAGACTAGAAGCTCAAATTGAAAATTTGGAATGAAATACCTTGGCGCACCAACCAGCCCACATATCATCGTAGCGTCCAATGGGTTGACCATCGCCCATGAGTCCGAAGTACATTGCAGGGCCAATCAATTCACGGTTGAATGCCAAATTCATACCACACATGGGAAACAGGGTTCCCTTTGGAATGGTCATGACGGCATCTACATACCTAGAGGAAAGCGAAATAAATTATGCGCATAAATTGCTTCAGAAAAGAAAATATGACAGCAAACAAAAAATAATAAATCATTGTGTGCTAAGGATAACATACCTAGTGTTTCTTTCCAATGGCTTCACCAGCTGAGTTGGGGCATCATAGTCAGGAATATTGAGCCAAAGGCCATGAGAAACAGCTGTTGGGACACCTTCACGTAAGCTAAATGGATAGCCGCGGACGAAATCTGCACCTTCTCTGTATGGATCATAGAGAGTATTGAAGAAAAACGGAGTTGATGGAGTCAGAAGGTTCTTGATATGCTGCTCAAGGGCATTAATGTCCTTGCCAGATGATCTTTAGCAACCTGAAAATTATTACGATATTTATCAGATCCAACTCCCTTTCTTGACGTCTTGAATAACAAATCAAATCCAGTACAGATGAGAGAACTAGATGAGTTCCTTGAAAAGCGCCAATGCATTGAATGGCTGATGAAATCTTTAGCAATATATTGCTACTGATCCAAATTCAAATGGGAAAACTCGTTCCAATTCAAATTTAGTGACCAAAAAAATCTTAAGATACAGATCTGAGAATCTAAGTAAAGATAATAAGCTCTACGATTAAGCGAGGAAAGAACAAATCAAAGGTTAAGAAAACCGGATGAGTTCTTCGAATTTTGAAGGTCTGCCTAACTACATAGATCAAGTACCACATGAAGTTGAGCCAAACACATGAGTTTGTAGTCATAATGAAGAAAACAAAGAGCTCCTGGGATGGCTTACACTAGAATTAGGAACATATTCAGATCGTACAGTGATATCACTGAAAACAGAACAAGAAAAGGGTAATTGTAACACTCAGAATCACATCTGAACAAGAAATAACAGCATCGACAATTGAGATGTAAAATTCAATATTCCAGAAAGAGATGGGGAAACTGGAGGGAAGAACCCACGTAGATCCGAAATTCTAGCCAGAGAAAACTGACGACCCATTCCCGAATGACTCGCAGAAGAAAAAGAGCGAAGCCGTAATTGTAATATAGGAAAGAAGGAGGAGAGTTGACTTACAAAGCAATCGTCGTCAATAGTGTAGACATACTTCTTCTTAGACACCATGTAACCAAAGCAGCGACAGGCAGAGTCCTTGAAGGAAATGCAAGAGGCCTTAGGACCCAAGATCCGATTGATATCGTTGCGGTTGTAAAGTTCATAATCGAAGCCTTCGGGGACCTTAATGGTCTTGGAAGGATCACCATCTTGCACAATTATAAGGTGATAAGGCTGAAAGAAAGGCCTCCACATCTCGAGGAAATCGAGGTTCCTGATCGTCGGGATGACGATGTCGAGCTCATCTTTGAGCAGAGGAGTGGGATTTACCGCCGCTCCGGACATGGTGAGGGTGAGAGGGAAGCAGATCGGAGACGGCAGAATCAGAGAGAGACAGAGCGAGAATTGGAACTCGGGAGCTTTGGGTTGAGGACGAAGAAGAGGGCTTCGAGGGGTTTTTGTATTTGAAAGGAGGGTGCTAGCTGCGAGGCACGTGCCAAACAGATTTGTACAGCTTGATCTCGGAATTATGCTTCTTCGCTTTTTTTTAATTTGCTTTTGGTAAGTATGTCGATCAGGTGAAAGTCTTCAACTTTGCCAAGGTCCAAGGACTTTTCTCCTCTTCTATTTTTTTTTTAAAATACACTTCTAATAACTAATTATAGTATTATAACCTGCAGGTGGTATAATTGATTAACATTTAATATGCTGGCAAGAAAAGGATAATATAATTAAGATATTATTTTTTTAACTTTTTATTCAGATTAGATGGGTGCTATTCATGACTCATCACTAATATAATTTTAAAAATTTTTATGTTATATATTAAATAGTAATAAATATACACAAATTTTATTTCAAAAGTATTGGTAAAAAAATATTAAAAATCAAAAAGGAAAATTAACTCATACACATCTTGTGTATATAATGTATCGATGCGTAGAATCTTAATCTGAAAAATACATGTGTGAATTGTTTGAAAGATTATAATGCGACCCTTCAAATTTTAGATTTTTCTCATTGCTCTTTATAGATTATATTTATGGAAAAATAAAAAGTAACTTGACAAATCTTGAGTTCTTGACCACCTAATTGCGTGGTTTTAAAAAATGTAGTATTAGACAAATTTTAACCTTTCATTATTTAAGGTCCATCCGATTACATTCCACATTTCCTTCCACTGTATAAGGAAAAGGTGTCGCTCTTTATTTCATTTTATTTACGCCATCACGCCTTTAAATTAATGCGATAATATTGCTATTCTTTATGTAATTTTTAAAGCAGTTATTTCTGTAACGGGTACCTGATGATCATATCCATTTTGTGAGGTGATTGAGTAATTTGGGGCGTGTTTGGCGAGATGGAAGATAAAGTGGGAGACAGATGCATGTTGAAAATGAGAAAATGTGATTTGTTACGTTAAAGATAGAAAACACGTTGATTGTTTCGTTGCCGTTCGCGTTAATATCACACCACGTCCGTTTTTAAGGGGGATAATTGTTTGGAATGGAATGCAAGGAGAAAAACGGTTTTTTTCCAGTAAAAAATGATAATAATATTTTGTATAAAAAATTTAAATTGTAAAATTATTCTAATGATGCAAGATGTCATCTTGATAAATGAAATTATATTTTTTATTAAATTGTTTGAACAAGTTCAGCATGCATTGATGTTTAATAAAACTCTATAAATTAACATTTTTAAAATATAACATTGGAATGATAAAAGTTTTAATCCTTTAAATTTGTCTTAATTATCAATTTGATTTCTTAAATTTAACTTTTATTGGTTTAGTTCTTTAAATTTGTTTCATGTATTGATTTGGTCTTTATATCTAGCGTAAAAAAATAAATTGATAAAAATTAAATTACCGACCAATGTAAACTTGAGAAGTAAACGCTTCCTCGTCTCTAGAATATTTAACTCTTAGGTTATTTTTTTAGAGGTGATGACATCGTTCTTCCATTTTTTTTATTGAACTTAATTTTAAATTTTAACTCATTTAATCATTGGTGCCTTAAACCTAATTTTTATAAACTTGATTCCTTGGATTTGTCCCATGTATTGATTTGGTTATTATTATTTAAAAGTAATACCATTAAAATTTAATAACATAAATAATGAAATATTAAATCACCAATCATGTAGATTAATTAAATGAAGTGTAATTATTTATTAGACAAGCAAAAAAGAAAACAGAAAACAGACCGAGTCAGAAATAAAAAGAAAAAGAAAAAGAGCAAAACTGACGTATAGGAAAATAAGAAAAATTAAGGAGAATATTTAAAAAATAACGTTTTTTTTTTGTTCTTATTTGACATGACGCACATGTGACAAGTTATTAATATATTTTCTACATCAAATTAATTTGAAGATCAATTTGCATTTTAAAATCTAAAAAGGTTAAAAAAAAGTAGAAGATTAAATTAAAAATTAAAAGTTAAAAGATTAAATTGGGAGAAATCACACCTAGGGCTCCTAGAGGATAAAAAATTATACTCTTTCCATTCAAAAATGTAATGTATTTTTTAAAAAGTTATATGTTTAAAAATGTAAGGCATCTTTAATCTTTTGAAATATAATCATTTTCTTTTTTTTTTAAAGTGCTCATATTGATAATGACTTTATATTTATTGTAAGGTGTTTCATAAGGATAAATGTGAAAAGATATATTTGGTTAAAAAGTAGATAACTACTTTATTGGACGCAAGATTCAGTTAAAAATGTCTTATATTTTTTAACAAATGAAGTACTTATAGTCTAGTGCATTATAAAATTATTTCGCAAGCTCAAGGGTTCTACTTGCGAATATGTTTTAGGGAGAAAAGACATAACTGCCCTTAGTGAAAAAAGACCATGAGTAAAGATTCAAATCTTGCCAACAAGATGTTTGCATATTTATAACTTTATGATCAAATATTAATGAATAATTGTCCATTAGTAATGAAATTTTTGTTTAGGATTGATAAGTTCGTGTTGGTCATATTCACAATTTACAACTTAAAGTTTAAATATTTATAAATACATGTTCATTTATGCACAAGTTAAAATCTATAATTTATGATTTTATATATTCAGAAACTAAGGTTCATCATGATAATAAGTTTAAATTTTTACAATTATATATTTACATTCACAACGTTATGTTCACATAGTAGCAATTAATTATTTATTGATAGTAAAATTTTTATTTAGAATTGACAAATTCATTTTAACTAATTTCATATATTCATAAGTAATCGATTTATTGATATGACATAAAGTTCTTTTTTTTTTTTTTTACTAAGGATGATTGTATCTTTTCTATCTAAAATACATTTGCAAAAGGACACTCAGGTTTACAGACTAATTTTAGAATGTATTTAAGTCTAAGTGTAATTTTTTCTCCTTTGGAGATGCTATGTGCGATTTTCCCATTAAATTAATTTTAATAATTTAGAGGACTAAAAATTTCCTAATATCTGAAATAGTTAGCTCCTTTGATTTATTTTTTCTAGCAAGACTGAAATGAAAAGATGTTCACACTTCACGCTTTTCATGTTTTTTTTTTTGCCATGAAAGTTCATATATTAACGATTAAAAGTGATTTTAAGTGTAAAACCGTATTTATTTTTTTAATCAGTAATTATTTTTATTTGATCAAACATAAGGTCATAGTTGCATCTGAAATGTTATTTTCCTGACCCGTTTTTTACCCAACAATCAATTATGCGGATTTTCCAGAAGCTCCCCCCCCTCCCCCCGGGGGTGCGCCAGCTCGGAGGACTCGCTCATGAAGAGAGTCTTGCCAAACAAAAATTACTATGCACGGCGCAGAAGTCAAAAGAATATAAATTGTAATTAATGGGAATGGATGACAAAAGCATTGATAGTCAAACGAGTTTAACTAATTGGCTTTTGATTGTTGGAATTTTGGGATGGACTTGGATCTAAAATTCTAATTATTCAGGGGGATGTTGTACGTGAAGTTTGGCAAGAATTGAAACTTCGCGCTTCCTAAAATTCTTCAGATTTTACTGCCAAGTCTTGCGGACATGCTTCTTTCTCCTAGGCAAAATTGTCGTATAGATTATTATTAAATATCATTTAGCGTAGAATTTGGAGATAAATCAGTATTTTACAGTAAAACAAAATAAATTAATGAATATATATTGTAAATTCAACAATGAACTTTGCACTCTGCTTGTCCTATTGACAAATTAGTTTTAACATGTTTAACCTAAATTTAAAAAAAATCTTATAATTCCGTTTGAAAATTTAAGAAAATTTTAAATTTTTTTAAATATACATGTTTTAATAATACACTTGCTTTTATCAATATTTAATGGGATGAAGAGAAAGATGTAAAATGTAAAAAAAAAAATTAATGACATAACTTATTGTTTGAACTAAAATTAGAACACCATACCCAATTACAACAATCCCTCAAAGCCCAAACCAACAAAGGAGTATATTTGACATATCAGTGGTCCAGTTTTGTGGGAGTTAGTAAAACTGCTTATTTTGAAAGAAGAATTAACAAAGCTGCACACACACCTTCACTCTCTGAGATTCTCGGCGTGCTCATGCATATTACTTTACATGATGAAACTCCTCTTAAGGATTTGACAACACAAATAATTACCTGTAACTTCCTCCTATATCCACTTAATATAAAAAAAAATTATGGTGTTATCACTATCTCACATCAATCACAAAAATTATATTTCATTTTAAAAGCTTCAACCGAAGCTTATTTTATAAAACCAATTAAATATCAATTCAGTCAGAGAAAACACAGCAAAAATAAATCATACATATTTTGAAAGAAGAATTGACTAAGCTGCACGCATACCTTCACTCTCTAAGATTCTCGACGTGCTCATGCCTATTACTTCACATGATGAAACTCCTTTTAAGGATTTGACAGCACAAATAGTTACTTGTAACCTCCTCCTGTATCCACTTAATATAGAAAAAGATTATGGTGTTATCACTATCTCACATCAATCACAAAAATCAAATTCCATTTTAAAAGCTTTTGGCCGAAGACGTACTTTGTAAAACCAATTAAATCTTAATTCAGTCAGAGAAAACACAGCAAAAATAAATCATATACTCCCCAAATACATAGTGGACTTAACCTACCAGCATTCTTATCTCAAATGCATGTATTTCAACATAAATTAAAATTTAAAACTTGGCACGTGCGCTGCGGCAAATGGTTAGTGAGCCGCGACATGTGGCACAAAGCCACATGCTTTCTCTCTTTGTCTGTGTCGTGTGCCGCGGCATGTGTCACCATGCACCGCCACTCGCCTGTCCATTTTTCTACCGTTGTTTTGACAACAAAAATGATAAACTTTCAGTGTGTGCCAATTTCTCATATGACATCCGATCGAAGTGATTCAAGTGCCCACATGAAGTTTAACTCGTATACTAACTAATGAGATAGGCTTAGACA